CTGTAGCTTCCGTCGATCCCTAATTAAAGTAGATTAAATGATAGAGACCTTTGGCAAAGTTGGGGGAAAATCATTTGGCAGGACAATGTTACTTACACTGGGTCACAATGTCCACTATAACCAAAAAAGGTTGCCCAGCCTCAGAAGGTCATTTCTTATTGTAAGGGGCTTTTGGTAGTGGTAGGAAGCACAACTTCAACCATGGTCCACCGATTTTGGTTGTTACTTCAACCACCTCCCATCTATTTCTATTGGAGCATAAACAACATGTGTAAGATTTGGAGGGCTGAAAATTTGCGCAGCACCTCTCAACCTGCCCAAGCCACTTAGGTTTTTCAAATGCGGTTGGCCAACAAAGAGTTCAAAGGTGGCTTCAAAACGGACATGCTCTTTTACCAGTCTGTCCAATGGATCATGAAGGACACCTTCGGTCAGGCCAGACTCGCGCGTGAAGTGACAGATTCATGGATTGGCCGGAAATTCGAGCATGGTGGACAGCGCTTCAGCTTGGAGGTGCCAGAATTGAGCCAGTCCGAAATCGATAGCATTCCAGGGGCCCAAGCATCATTGGGAAATCTGGACTCCTTGAAATTCGAAGTTCTGGAGAGGGTCAATGACCGGATGCTGATAAAGTCTGACGAGCACAAGTTCCTTGTCATGATTGCTTGGGGACCATGGTTACCAATTCCACCTTGAACTTTATAGATTCAAACATATTTGACAAGGGGGCTTCAACTTCAACCAAGAAAGTATGATGATTTCTTTGTTCCAACCAGCCTGTCAATATCATTAGCTTCGCCTGCGTTTGTTGTTCAACCCCATCAATACCTAAAGTTGAATTTAAATGACTGATTGTCTTGAATCATTGCTTGCCAGGTTCTGGGCTTCACAAACAGGAGGCATCTTGACCGAGTATGAGGCCCTCCGGCATCGGCACCTTGATTTGGTGGGTCAGTCTGTGGCAGTCGCTGCTGCTCCTGAGGAGCCAAGTGCTTCGGGTGAGGGGGAGAAGCCGGAAAATCCTCCGACCACCCCGACTACAGAACTGGAATCCGTGGCCAAGCTGCAGGAAACCATCGGAATTGAGCTGAGGGTGCCCAGCGAGTGTAGTCATGTAGAACTCATTCTTGGAGCTGACAAATCGGTGTGGCTGGTCAGTAGCCAACAAAAGACACTCAGCAAGTACTCTGTCTTGGGCGGATACGGAACCGGCCAATGGATGCCAGAGGGTGAGTGTTCTGAAGGGGGCGTTCCCTTTGTGTGCAAGGACGATCGCGCTCTTGTACAGATCGATGAAAGCTCCTTCTCAACAGAAGCACAAGGTTTCTCAACTCTGACTCTATACCAGCTACTGTTGAGAGCAGAAAGCCAGAAAAACATTACCGAACACCGCTTTTCGTTCCTGCAGATCGACCGGAAGGCTGCAGTCGAGGCCGGTGAGGATGGCTTTGAGATCAAGGTGAAGAGTGCCATGGTTTTCCGTTGCCTACGGGATCCCCGAGCATTTGGTGCGCAAGGTAAGGTGGAGGAACGCATCACCGCAAAGAACTTCTTTTCAAAGTGTGTCGGCCATACCCTTCCCAAGGAGTCGGCTGTCACCGTTTTCCGGTACAGGTTCGAACGTGTGGGCCAAAATTTCAAGATCCAGCGGCCCTACATGATCACATCACGTTCTCTTACGCTTCAGAAGGATAAACCTTTGAAGCTCGCATAGAGACTATATTGGCTGCAGCCTATCCTGTGATTCGGGAGTTGTTGCATGGTGTTTTGACCTGATGAGAATTGAATCTTAAAAAGGAATAACGGAATAACTGTTTGTAATCCAAAAGGTATCAAACAATCCACCTGTTGTCATTGTCTGTTTCTTTGCAGCCAGTCTCTCGATGCCCTCAGGGTCAATTTTGGATGATGAACCGGGGTCAGATCGAGACGGATCTAATACAACAAGCTAGTTTGGGGAAGCCTGAAACACCGTTGAACAACATGTTCCCAGTTACATGGACCATTTATAGTTCCCACCAAATCGACAAACTTCATACTTAGTGTTTTGGGGTCGCACAGCAACGGTGAACGGCATTCAGCTAGATCGACGACCAAGCAGCAGGTCTCAGTTAGCTTTGACTGAGTTTGGCATCAGTCATGGATCTGAGCCGGCATTCGTAGGTCTGCAGGAAAAATACGCTTAGCCCGCACTGAGTCTGAGGAAGCTGCTTCGTTTCATTATGGAAAACACACACTGAGTCTCGACATATTTTGGGGTGTTGGAGACTTGTGAAAGTCGGCCTCTGGCCTCAGTCTGTTCATTGGAACACAATGCTCCTAAATTCCTTTAGCAACTCTGGTTCCCAGCCCCCAGAAAATTGTTTCTTTCATGCCATGGCACAGCAGGCAAAGCACATTCGTCCCACAGAGCTCAATAGGGTCACCTATGAGGATGTTTTCACCATGTGGAAGAGCCTCTTGGGTGTCTACGGCATCGGCGAACTAGCTAACATGAGCAACTTCCAGAACGAAAATATCCGGGAGCTCTTGATGAAGCTGGCAGTTGTTTGGGCTGACAGCCCCCTACATCTCGAGGTGGTGATGGAAACCATCCAAATTTTGACGGTATTCTCCTGCATGACATTCAAATGCCAGCTCGACGGGGAAGGGGTTCTGGAGTGCTCCAGCTTTCGATTGAGTTGCTGGGTGGAAGACTCGGAAGTTTGCCCAGTTCCAAAACCACAGGCATCGACTCCTTTGCGCATCAAGCTGAGCGCTTTTCTCACGACCCCAGAAATGAAAGAGCTTATTCTGAGGGAGGTGGGCTTGGCTTTGGGGCAACTTGAATCCCTATGTGCACTCGCGGAATTGACTCCACAATTGCTGGGCCGATTCCAGATTTGCTTTAGTTTGCTGGATGATGTGCAAACCGTAGCTAGGACTATTATGCCTGGGCAGGGGAATGCCCCGTTGACTTGAAAGGAGTCTTCACCTGTGGCTTTGGGTCTCTCAAATCTTCTGGAGATTCCGAGATGCAAAAAACGACCGGAGCATGTGATACAGCTTTGCTCTCAACAAGAATTGGGAAAGTTCACAAACAGCATCACGGTATTAGACCGATTCTATTTTTTCCTTACTAAACAGTGTCATACTAAACGGTATCAATTTGAGTAGCCTCAATATTAAGTATTTCACCTGGATCTGCTTTGCTGCTTTTTCTCCACAACTTGTCATTCAGTTGTTTATGAATGAATGCAGTAACTAGAGATGGAATCATTGAAGATGAATGATGTATTGTCTTGTGGATGACCTAGCCTAGTATTTCACAACTGTTGAATCCCTGAATTGCTTTGCAACAGGCTTCGGATCAAGCAATTCGTAGGTGCCTTCGGCACTTTTTTTCGGGTGCCATGAATGATGCCATGGACTTGACATAGCTGGCAGGATTATGGCAAGCTATCGGACTCAACAGGAACCACGACCGGGGCCTGCCGGAAGCCCTGGTGGAGCTGCATCCAGCCAGCAAAATGACAGCCAAGGCCAAGGTATTATTACACAAACACCTTCGAGGCCTACGCCGTCGCCAAAGAAAGAGGAGCCACAGGAAAGGCCAGTGGGCAGAGGCGGCAGAGGCAGGGGAAGGGGCAGAGCAAGGGGCAGAACAACAGCCTCGAGTCCCTTTGTTTTAACTTTCTATTGAACCTTTTCTTGATGATGATGATTGAGTAACAGGGTATAGGCTATCTAATGATGATGATAATCGATGATGTTTTCATAGTTTTTATTCTATGAAAGATGAGTTTAAGAACTGATGATGATGGTGACGGAGAAGATGATGGTCGTATTTTCCATCAAACGATATCAGCACTCGGGGCATTTCCTAGATGGTGTTGGGCTTCAACTTAGGTCATCTGAAACGTCCAGCAGCTCATTCTCCACTCAAACGACCTGCAGCAGAAGTAGAGACCTCCAGAACTACGCCGCCTCAGCGTGAAGTGAAACCTGAGCCTAAGCTTCCTCTGGCACCAGAGGAAGAGACAAAGGAAGTGAGTGAACACGAAGAACAAGTTTTAGGAAAGAAACCAGTATTCAAGAAGCCATCGAGCAAGCCATCGATGGGTACCCCAAAGAAACAAGCTGATGGGTCAGGGGCCAAGGGCGGAAAGGTTGTCAAAACAATCAGCAAAAAGAATGGGTGGACGTTGATGCAGTACGAGACGGCCAAAGGCCGTCGATATTGGAAGTGGGCCCATATTGATGGACGCTACTGTTTTTCGAAAGTCCAGGCGGAACAATTGGGCTTTGTAGATGAAGACGCATGAGGTGGCACCTGCGGAGAAAAGCTGAGATGAGTTGAGTGTGAAACCATAAGAAAGTTCCAGAAAGGTTTAGTCTTATATTATTCTTCGTGGGTAACCCCAAAACTCAAAGAACCAAAAGCTGAAAAGACTAACTTTTCTGGAACTTTCTTATATATGTTTGTATACTATATACTTTGGGTCTATCCTATTAGCAGTAACAGTGGATGATGATGATTAGTAAAGGCCTTGTTCAAAAATAGTGATACATGTGTTTACTGACTGTTACAGGTAATAGGACAGACCTCCCAAAATCTCCCAAATAACCACCCCAGGAATCACCCCGGACAACTATCCAAAAGAAAACCCTCTCACCAATCATCCTTGGTGTGTTGCGCCTCGGCACTGTGAAAGTGACACACTGAACTTGCTGTGATACTTTGACTTTCTATGTCCGTAAGCAATCAACCCATCTCTGTGCAGGCCATCCATGGCAAGACAATATATCAACTAACATTATCTTAAGGACATCGGCCCATCCTGATCCACAAACACAACATTTTAGAACCCAGAAACGATGTCAACGTTAGAAGCAACAACAACACTGTATAGATGACAACTGCTGACAACTATAATTATAAGCACATCGATGATCATCTATGCACGTTTCACCTGGGACTCCATCACTCTCCACCAGTCGCCCCGTCCGGGGGCCCGGGCCGAAGCTCATCTCCGGCTCTCGCGGGGCCTCGGGCCCGACGGTCCCGTGTCAAATGCTGGGAGCTGGAAAGACCCAGGAAAGAACCGAAGAAATGGGCTCTTCAACGAATCCATGGCTCTTCACTCATACGAAGAGCCGCCAGTATGACATCAATCCATAGACTCTGGAGACTTACTTCATGGCATCGATGCTCTCTGGCGGCACTTTTACCGCTGCTTCGGCGTCGGGGCCATCAGCGGCGGATCGCCGTGGCGCCGCAGCGATCCGAACTACTTCGATGGTTGGAGCGAGGTTGAGAAGTCTCTCAGGTCAGGCAAGGGAGGTCATTGGCAGTTCTACCAGATTCTACTCAAGCTTTTGCAGGCCTGTTTCTGGCAGGAACCATCTTGCTGGGATGTTGCTCATGTCGTCGATGTCGTACGGAGGGTGCAAACACGGGTGCCTTTTCAGGACCAGTATATAGTATTCTATAATTAGGGTTGGGAAAAACTTGGATCATCAATCGTCGTGGGATTCTTGGTGATCCTTCCAAGGGTTGCTGTCTGTGCAGTAGGCCACTCCTTTCAAGCCTCATTCCGTGAAACGCACTCCTTTCACCGCCGAAAGATTCACGTGACTCATGACGGGGCGGAGTCAGGGCGAAGTCGCTGACGATGTCACTCTATGCCTGGAGGAGTGTCGTGAGTTTGAAAACACCGGGTTTAGCTCACAGTGCTGATGAAAGCAAGTCTACAATCCTCCCCAAACAGCCAACCATGACAGTTCGGGGTGGGGATGGCGCTCCCTCTGAAGCCCTCTCTGATTCCGACTGGTGTAGAGAAACTTGAAATCAGAAACAATCCTCAGCTCAAGGGCAAATAAAACTGAAAGCACCAAATTCGATCAACTTCTCTACTCTTCTTCCTGGTGTCCATTTGGGTCTGCTTCTGGGGAAAGAATGACACACACACACAAGCCGGCTCGTCATCCGAATTCTCATCAGTTGGGGGGGTGTAAAAGCCTGGCGGAAGTTGACCTTAGCCAATTTGCACCCTGATTGTTCTGCAGTACATCGATCTTCCTTCTTCATTCAATGTACATTTGCAGAGTTTGGCAGTTACCCACCCCATGGCACACCGAACTACTTGATGTTCAACAATATGCTAATCTTTGGGGAGTTGTTTCGTTGTTCTGATCTAGAGACAAATCAAAAGCCCTGGACGGAACAATACAACAATGAAACAGAAATCCAAACCATTTCGCGGTCCGCATCGCTGTCACAGACCCACAGAACCCTCGAGACAACTCACCTTGCCTCGCACCGAAGGTAAGACCACCGTCAGCTGTTGTGGGCGATGCGGACCGCGTAGATGCCGGTGCCGAGCATGACGAGCACGAAGAAGACCTGGGATGCGCGAATCAACGCAGCTTCACACAGATCAAAGCGAACGGCCGATCGAGGTGATCTTTGTTCCGTTGAAAAGAAACAACACGTGTTTGTGGTCATCAATGACACATGTGCAAGCTGAACTTGAGGATCCACAGTCGACTTGCTTGCTGGCCTGTGCTGGCGAGCGAACTATGATCGCACCAAACAAAATGGTTTCTACGGATTTTGCCCAAGAGAATTAGAGACTCCACACCGTTGCACGTCACGTGAGTCCGTCACGTGCGATGAGTCCGAAGCTCATTTACGCAAAGTGTCGGGGGCAGTGATCATGTTTTAGTAGAGCCAGAGACATACGAAGTATAACTAAAACATCAAAGGCTGGTCAAGACGACTATGCTTCTGCCTCATGGCATGCTTGGTGGATATTGGTGGCATCCCAAATCAAGAAAGGGAGCTCTCCCAAAACAAACATTGCTCAAAAACATGCATCTGCATGGATCAAACACATAATCTAAAACATGTTGAAACGTGTCCAAAATAGCTCAAGTCATAGGAAATGTAAACCACTCCCTGTGACAATCGTTGAATGATCCAACATGGAAATTCAACAGATCTCACTGTCCCGCGGTAGGTGCAAACTAGAACAGCCTTTCGAACGGAGAGTTTCGCCACCCTGTGCCCTGCTCGCTCCGGTGGCCCAGTGGAACACGCGGAAAACGCTCCGGAACACGTGGGACCACGCGCTGCTCCACCCTGGCAGTTACCCACCGGGTGACCATCAGTCCAATGAGCAGCCGCTCTTCGCCCTGGCCATTCTCCGCATGCCTGGGGGAAGAAGAGACATGGTCTCAGGCCATCCCATGGCTTAATTCAGGGTGGCCCAAATAGACCAACAGAAAGACATCTGGATGAAATTCAGTGTTTTTTGGTGGATCTCACTCTTGAGCTACAAATCCTCATGCAAAAATACTTGGGGCACAGACTGAGGGCCCTTATTAAAGCACAGCCAAATGAGAAAACCTCACAAACCCCCATGGGAATTGTTTTTGCTCTCCTAGGGGTTTGGAGGGTGCCCTCTCTATCTGACAAAACCCAGAGTTTGCGAATGTCAGTGGAGTCCGGGTCGGGGCGGTGCTGAAAGACGGGTGTTTTTTAGGCTTCTTGTTTGACCAAGCTGCTCGCGCTGCAGCTGTCTTACCCGCTCCTTCCGGCTGGGTTCTGCCCTCTCAGTGCTCTCTGGGTCCCGGCGGCGCTCGCGCATAGCCAGGCGCCCCGAACTGCTACAATGCAATATCCAAAAATTGTTCAAAAGTGTCAAGTGGGTTATAATATGGTCATATGGTTTAAATCAGATTGGGTGGCCTATGCCAGCTGCTGCAAAATTATCCGCCTTGCGCCGGATCTGTTGCATGTGTTGTGTTTCATATGTGTCTCATGGAACGGCCATCATTGGAGAATGGCAAAGCATGGCAAAGCACAGATCGGCCCTCTCATGCCTTTTCAAACATGGTGAGAAGGTGATGGGTTGAAATCATAGGTCGCCTGCTGCATCAACGATGATGACTGGTCCTATGTTTTGTTTAAAAGACGTTGGGCTGTCAAAACGGAAGGGTTGAAACCGAACAATGTGTTTCTTTAAAAATACATAATGTGTTCCAGTAGAAAAACATGTCAAACACATGTTGGTCCAGCTGGTGTATGGTTTGGGTTTTTATTGAAACCATGTTGTAGACTATTTGTTCAAACACGTTCAATCTACTAGTGACCGGGCCCCCTTCCTCCTATCCAACAACTCACTAGAGCCTCACTGTTGAGATCTTCAACCTACCCAAAACAGTTACCACAAGTGCTACATTGAATCTGCCATGGTGCACCAACCTGCAGATGTTCATCAAAATTCTGCAATGATGAATGAATATCCAACCAGGTGCGGTTCCATTTTCTACGCATGGAAACATGACGTTTGTCCCATTTCAAGGCCGCCCAACTTCACATTTGCAATTTGCCGGTGGACCGCATGCACTCATATTGCCCCACATTGGTGTTGTCTCAATATGTTGACTGATGCCAGAACACATGGTAATCCCATGTAAAATTCAAACATTCTGGGTTACATACATGTCACTACGCGTTTCAGGCCCCAGAAACATCGGAAAAACAGAAACAATGGGTTTGGTTCCCAAAAGTTTGAAAGAAATGCCCACACATGTGAGTAGCCATCGCCCCACTGCAGTTGGGCATCTCGCATAACTGGCTTGGATGTTCGTGACCTGACATGGGTTTTTTCGTTTGCCAAGCGACTGAACTAGTCCAACACTCCACTTCCAACAAGCAATGCGGTTTGTTGGACTACTGGCCACTTTTGCTGGGAGGACCGCAAGGGTGAGCTGCTAGTTGTGGAGGACAAGGGTTGGGAAGAAGTAGTGCTGAGATATCACGGGACTATAGACTTGTAGAGCTTAAGCACACACTGGACAGAGTGTTTTGCACCGGCTCGCAAGGATAATTGCTGCGACCATCGAGGGACTACGAATCCAAGCCTTGAAGCACGGCATGTTTGCTTCTGTCCACGTCCCGACACTGAGCGCTCAAGCAAGGCGCCTCAACACACAATGTGGAAACACTCAGAACCAAAGGCTCGAGTTAGACGCGTGTGCCTCCTCTAAGTCCAAGCAAATCGAGATCAGTAACAGTTGGGAGGGGCAGTTGCATATCCTCTTCACAGCTCCTGCAAGTGCCACGTGCCGCAATGCCTAGCGCAAAAGCTGCGATGTTGCACTTAGTCAAGCTTTTTGTAATGGTTGAAATGCTGGCATACTGGCATTCTTGAGCCGGAAGAGGCAACTATTCATGTTACGAGAGCGATGAATTTGCGTTACGAGACGAGAGGGATGAACTTGCGTCTCTGGCTCTGTTGTTGAAAGGCCAAGGTTGTGGAAATTGCAGTCAAATACGACCTGCAAATCAACTTTTGTTTTGTCACAGTTCCCAGCTCACCAAAAGGAATTTGTTATAGGGTAAAGTCCCAAGACATTCGCAAGCTGAGCGACTGATCACCCCATTGCCCATCCCATGGTTTCGCCATTCATGCGCGCTTGCAGCTGGGAAAGCTCATCATTTCTGGAAAAGGCTACCAGGCTTGCTAGTTGGAAAACAAAGGAGGAAACGACCACCTTGGCGCTCAATAGCCCTCTAGCCCGAATGTACTCCGCAACAAATATTACACCAGCATCGACCCCAAACAGCAGTGGCAGTAGGAGTTTCCTGCCGCTAAATCTCCCAAGGCGTCATGCGAGACAAAGGGCGGGAATCATCTTGACCCAGCATCGTTTCTATGCAAGAATTGAGAACCCCTCACAGCAAAGCTGTGTGGGGAACAAACAAAACCCCAAAAGCAAACAGCTGCACCCATTCACCGCACAAACACACCACACTCATCAAGGATCACACCAACATCACACCAAGGACCCAGTCAACTGCTTGCTGAACTAGACAAAAATGGGTATATGACGAGGGAGTGTGGAAACAATCTTGGTCTGAACTCTTTTTTTGTTGAAGGCAGGCCCCTTTTTGAGCGTTCTGTGCTTTTAAGAACACGAACAAGAAGCAGCCTTGCGTATTCAGTTACCCGTCGTGAAGATCACAGGCCGGCCGCCTGTCGATACAAGAGAACTCTTAAGCGCAACTTTGCAAGAACTTGACAACCTTGGATGAGGGCATTCTTTCCCCAACGTTAGACTGGTCGACAAAGATCGAAATCACTTAGAACGTTATATCCTCTTTGCGAAACCTCGTAGCTGAGCTGCTCTGCCTACCTTCTGGGACCCACGAAGCTGCACCAAGCACATGCGAAGACGAGGTCACGGCTGTGTGCAGGGATCCGTGATGATCGCACAGGGATGCCGAACACCTGGGGAAATCAGGGCCTGCCGTTTCCCCTGTCGTCGGTCTCGACCCGCTTCGGGCGGTTTGCGCCTGAGGATGGTTGTCAAAGGTGACCCGGGCCTCCTGGCCCAGAACGAGGGTCAGGGGTCTATGTCCAGCGACGTCAAAGCCAATCGCTCGATTTCGAAACCACATCTCTCTGCTCGAATCCGACGGATTTCCGAAAGGGAATCTGAAACAACAAAAAAGAACTAGGGAGGAATGTTAAATACCAGGGGCGCCCGCATCGTTGATGAGTGTCTCTTGATTTTCACAGTTCACAGTTCGAGGGTTGTGGTCATCCTGAAAGAGAGAGGGCCCTTGGAACATCGCCATCGCAAGCGCTTGACTGGGCGCGCTCAGTCGCGCGCGACTGGTCGATGGGTGAAACACCCAGTTTCGGCCTGTTTCGGACTGGTCGATGGTGTGTCGCACCATCAAATGTTTCAATGTAAAGACGGTCATCTTCAACCCCAGTAGATCTGGATGCAACCGAAGCCAACGAAAAGGAGAAAAACAAACCACCTCGATACCAAAGTTTCAGATCCAACAACTGCAGCAACTCGATACCCTGGAACTTGCAACAAAACCGCTGATACTTCGGTCTTCACATTGTATCACTGCACTACTTCGGTAGATACCCTGCAAGAAAACAAACAAGTCCCGCATAGGGTGCTTGATGGACACCCCTATAAACTCTAAGAACATCTAATTCGACACACCAAACAGAGGGGGCTCGTCTTCTACGTGGCTTTGAGGATTAAAAAACACCCTCTCCCATCGCCTCCCGGGGCTTGGCAGGCTCCTGAAGCCGGACTGAGATTCCGGCGCAAGCCAGCCGGCTGAACATGAGTGAAAAACCGAAAGGAAGACGGATCAAATCAGATCAGATTGGTCTAGATATCCAAGACATGTTTGGTCTGGAATTCACTCGAATAGACGGATCTTAGAGTCCTCAGAGTCCTGCAGTAGACAAAGAGTCCAGTCTTAGAGTCCTCGGGGTTGACTAATTGACCAAGATCCGTCATGCATGGGGATTTGTGAATATCCATAGTTCTGGGTCGTGCGAAGATCAGCAGTTAGAGGCGAGATAATTTGGTCAGGAGCAAGCCCAAACAGCTGGAGATGATTCATAGGCAGAGAATCTGGTGCATTTGTTTTGGGGAAGGGAACACATGCTTTAACAAAAACACTCGCCCAACCCACCGGAGCTGTCCTTCACGCCGGTTGCTGCACCTGGTGGGCAAGTGGGTCATATTTCAAGAGGAGTCCACTGAGGGGTCGTCTCATTTTTATGACCCCCAAACATGATTTTCTTTAGTTGGAAAGTGCCAGCTGGGCTAGAAGACATAGTTTTGACTAAATATCCGTTAAATAATCCATACTAAAATCCAGTACCTCAACCCCACTAAATAGTACAAACCATTTTCCGAAACACACGTACGTCACAGTAATTAGACAGTAATTAGACTCAAGCTGTTTGTGGTTCTGTCATATTGTACCAGCCGATGGCACTATTGATACTATTGATATCCTGTCCATCGGGTTTCAACTATATACTCTCTCACATGGAAACTGCCAGGAGCATTTGATGATCTTCTTCGAGCTTTCAGAACGTTGATGTTCAATCAAAGAAACAACACAAGTGATACAAGCTTCCTGTCCACAAAATACAGCAAAACTGCTCGACTCACATGATTTACAAGCATATTATATATATAAGTATATATTTGATATATGAGTGATGGACATCTTGGGATGGTTGTCCGTTCTAAACCAACCGGAGGGAGAGCTGACCCAAACCATAGACTTGTCCAATCCTCATATAGTTAGGAATACAAGAACAAACAGCAAAACCTATACTCCGTGGAATTGTCATGGTTGCGTGATGTTACATGTATGGCCCCTTTCAAGAATGACCATGAAATCCAAAGACCAAACCGCTGGTGGTTTTCCACTTCCACGTCCCCCTCAAAACCTGCAAGCAAAAACACAAAACATGTATATATATATATTTATTGTTACATTTCCGCAGGTCCCCCCCTCGTTATTTTTGGTAGAGGTACGAGCCGTGGTTTCGACTGTTCTTCCAAATACCAAGCAAGTACGTTTGAGGTTCCAGAGTGGTCCCCCGCGAACGGGGCTTTTCCCCCTGGCGAACGAACCAACGACTGGAGCGGCCTCGGCTCCACGGATCGCTCCGACTCCAAGGATCATCCTCCTGGGAACGTTGCGGTGCGCGGTGTCGGCGTTGGGGACGAGGCGTTGAGGGCCGGCGTTGCTGGTGGAAAACGACGCGAAAGCAACCAGCTGCGGTGACCTCTGGAGAATACAGTAGAAAGGATGAAGTTGATGATGATTTAGTAAGATTTTTGATAATGATTTGTATGATGATCTATATATATATGGCGTATCTGTAAATGTGTTCGACTGTGCAACGATGAAGATCTTAGTATATATTATTGCTGTCTTCGACTCTTTGGGGTCAATGGAGCTTGCTCGGGGCTCACCTGACATATGACATCTACATCCACTATGTCGACATGATATATTAAATATGCATAAATATGCCGCTATATGGGACTGGAAGATATGCCAGTCCCAATAATAACCTCCCAAACCACCCCAAAACTATCAAACTGATTGGTACAGTCCTGCCAGTCCCAAACGGGTCGTCGTCTGGTCGAGCAGTCCTTTCGGTCGCTCAAAGGTGCCTTGGACCAGTCATTGGCCTGGCAAAGCGAGTGCAGGAGCAAAGGTCCATCACCGTTTTTCATGTAACAGGAGAGTAGCACTCAAAGAGTGCTGCAACAGGTGCCCTGAAAAAAGAGCACACGGTTCCATTTCTTTGTCGGTTGACTGTTCGGGTGGGAATCGGCGGGTAGCGATCTTGTATACTACAACAGCATCAACAACGTTGTCCCAGTTCACCTACCACAAGACGAGTGGCCGATTAAACACTGTAAGAGAAAAGGCAAACTGCTCAGTAGGATGCCGGGGGAAAGAATGCAAACAAACAGCAGTCACTGAGGGCGATTCTCATGAATGTCACTCCATATGGGCATTTTCCTAAGGGGAGGGACAGTCCCTCCCCTTGTCAACCGTTTCATTCTACTTTCCCCACTGAAAATGGGTGCCATCATGACCCTGCACCAATCTTCACCGCCAAGGCCTCCGTCTTCTCCTCCCTGCACGGTGCACCGTTCGCGTCACCGTGAACGCGTGAACGCGTGAACGCGTTGCCGTCGGTCGGCCCCCGGTGCCCTGGTGATTGGGCGAATCCGAATACAAAGTGAAGCGCCTGAAAGTGATGCTATATACCCTATACCATCCTATACCATCCTTTGCAGTCACACTGATATACTTCTTGTAGAGACTGATTCCATTGGACTTCTGATATAGATGATATAGGTTGTCTTGCGTCAAAGCAGTTGGCAAAGGAACCGAAGTCACACTGCAGACTGTTGAAACGATTAATCCGGTTTTACCATATAGTTTTTATTATGTGACCGTGTCACGACGATCCGAATACAAACGCCTCCCCCATGGACCAATGATCTCAAAACCCCCAAATCACCGGAACGCCAGGGAACACCCGATCCGCTCTGCCGGTGGTCACCTGGGTGCTGCAGGCGGGAAGGAGGAAGGCATGGGCCCATCACCAATGACCTGTGCACAGTCCGACAACGATTTCAGGTCCTTGTTACGTTCGTAGCTGCTTGCTACTAGTAGTATGGCCTCCAACCTAATAGCGATGGCCTCCAAGCTAGTAGCTACTTGGTTCTTGGCTCGTTTTGGAGTGAAGGAAAGGGAGTGCGTGGAGTCTGCAAATAGAAGCTCATCTTGGAATATGCGGAGCTATGCGGAGCTATGCGGAGCTAGAAGCTCAATAGAAGAACAACATCTCCCGCATCTCCACACCTCTTCCAAACGCTTCAGGAATTGCTGCGCCGCCTGCAACGCTCGCTCGCTTTCTTCCTCGCTTCCCATGCCACCCCATGGAAGACGAACAGAATAATACAAAGGCGAAATTCCGATTAATACCGGAGATTTACCTGAACTACTATAGAACATGCAAGGTCTTTTAAGGCAAAGCCTACAAATATCTAGAATTGTTGAATCCTTTTCAAGCAGAGGTATTACTGATGACTTGTGTTTCTCTCAAAGCAATTGTGTCTCCCGGAAGCCACCATTTAGAGGATGCACACCTTCGGCCATTTGGGCCACAGAACCTCCATGCACTGTCGAACGGTGAGTGGTCGAAACAAAGTCACTGGAGATCAAGCAGAGAACTCGACATGCCGTGTTAGGACACCTAACACTATAAAAGAATAATACTTTGGGGCTGTACAGGATCATCATACTCAGCACCCAAGGAGGTGATTTGCTCAAACTCTTGCTTCTTGTGCAACTTCATCAATATGAGGATTTGATTGTCATTCTCTGGATTGATTTCCCACCGCATGGAATCCGCATGGAGGGCCTTACCCAAGCACCTCTGACGAACAACTGTCAACCAAAAAAAGCGCCCTCGATGCACGGCTTGCCTTCACACGAGCTTCTAAGGTGCCAATCAAGGTGCAGAGGCCCTGAGTCGTTCAGAGAAGTGCTCCCCATGCGGGGGTGAGAAACATAGAAGAAACAAGTCTTTCGGAGGACTGGAGGACCTCAAATCATAGCTCCAAAGGCTTTTGGAGCGGTTGCAACTGTACCAGTTCGTTTCAGATGTCTTTGTGAGCTGCACCTCCAAGTATCGAATCCTGATACAAGAAGAAATGGGACTTCCCACCAGTCACAAGAGTCTTACCCCCAAACCACCGATCATCACCTCCAAGCTGTTCAAAACTTCACCTCGTCTCACCTTATTTGGAGACATTTTGGGTCCCAACAACTACCTTCCTTGCATTGCAGCTCAGGTTTTGCTGTTGGTCTCCCGCCTCATCATGTGAGGGCAGATCACGGACCTCCGCGTCAAAGGTCACGAACCGCCGCGGCCGTGGGTCCGGCAACGACAACGGCACCGTCATTAGGGTCAGCCAAAAAAGTTCCTATCGAAATGAATAGTGTAGAATATGAATATGGCAAGTTTATGGCAAATTTATGGACACGGATAACCGCTCTTGTGTGGAGGAAAAGCTTCAAGCTTAGGGGTCTGTGTACGCCGTGTCCAGGTTCTATTAGATATGGCAAGAAAACAGCTTGCTTAATGTGTTTAGGCTCATTCGTCAAATAGGGATTAACTATTATGATTCTGATTAATTGCTGGTTCACACGTTGAGCTCCACTTCACTTGCCTGCAAACTGACTCCAAGAAAGATTGTGGCTGGCATGGTAGGTCAAAGTTCGCCAATTTCAAGGCTGGAAATGCCAAAAGTCATGCGATTTGCCGTAGGCAAGCTGAGCAAAAATCAAGCTTTTCCATGCAGGAACGTGCGACCGTTCCTGAACAAAATGGTCTTGTCATCTCAGAACCCTTGGAGAAAGGCATGTGTCTTATAATATAGGGCCTAACGATGTTCGATGCCAAATGCGGACCGGATGAGGGCACATTGTTCCACACATGTTTGGCAAAATGCTAGAGTTCACCAATTTGAACACTTCCAACACCTCAAACCTAGGGTCAACGGGTAGGTTTATATCCAATGGGGAGCTCAAATCTTTCCTCCCAAGTGTTCGCCCGTGACGACTTGCTTCTCCCGCAACCCCCCCCCAAACAGTTGATTCATAATCACACAGGATATCCGGATATCCCCGATTGCGCCAGGTCATTATATAAAATGAAATTAACCAGTCTCTTTCATTAACCAGTCTCTTTCATGTCTTATTCTCTCAACTGTTTTTGCTTTCGACGTCCTCTACCTTCAGCCGGGAATGATCTCGCGGCCTCGATCTCGCAGCCTGACATCTGTTGCACATCCTTGATGGGGCACTGATCGGCGGAAGCTGCAGGATTCGCCGGATCGGTGTCATCGTGTCAATGCGCGAGGAAAGCACAGAAAAGACATGATGTGATGCCCCAGTCTAATGGTCGTCTTGCAACTTGTGCTTGGCAGAACGGGTTCTGCGGCCAGAAAGTGCGTGTCCCTGTCTAATCTGAAGACAAATAGTCAAAACTCACGTCCCCCTGAGCTCGGTCCCCCGTCTGAACTTGAATGAGCACTTCCGCTGTATTCCAGGCTCAAATATGAGCTCAGTGGGAGTATGATCGAAGTGAAAGAAGGAAGAATAGAAAGATTCGAATATGTTGCGTTTTGTTTATTCAAAAACATATGCTCAGTGATCAAAGGAAACTGTTTGTTCCCCATGCGGGAATGGAGCAGCACTGTCCAAACAACCTCTGATGTGGTCTCTAGACGGTCTACTGTCTGACCTCTTCAGACCACCATCCAGAAAGTCGACCCTTCCCGCACCGCGTACGTACGCGGTTCGCACCGCCCGTGCCACGCGCGAGCGCAAGCGCTTGCGGTCGCGAGGGTTGGGTCCTTGACTTCGGCCTCCGTCGTCAGCGGCCTTGGGATGAGCATCAAGGTCTCCCGGGGCGCCTTAGTCGTTGCTTTTGCCCGGAAGAGTCGCGTGCCGGGCTTTCGGAGAGGGCACGAAATCGTCCGACTTTTTGAGAGGGGGTCGTCATTGTTCACGCCCTTTTCCACCCTTTCTTGGCCACATGCAAGACTATGCAAGACTGCTTGACACTGAAACATCCACGATTCGAGCCACAAGACTGTCAACTTGGGCTCACTCTACTCAATATTGCACTTAGAGACTTAGACTGTATTAAGTTGTTCGGCCAGAAAAACGAAGGGCACATGGGCTCAGATCAGTGACGGACCTTTGAGACCTCCCAGAGCCTCCTGTGTGTTTGCGGGCCAGTTCGTGCGTCAAACGCAAGAAGAAGAGTCCAGGATCTCCCAAAAACGCACGAAGAGTTCGTGGCAGCGTCGCCCAATCGCAGAGCTCTCGAGACCCGTGGTGTGTAGGACTTGCTCGGTAAAAATAACGCTAGCTTTTAAACACGTTGGAGACGCTCCTGAACCTGGCTGCTGTCGCCGCCCGACTGCGCTTCGCCCCAGGTGACCAGCGATCCATCCGCCAAGAGCGCTGCAAAGGCCCTTGGGGTCGAAGCAATCTCTTGCACGTCGACGAGACGATCCTGGACTGCATGGCTGGACCCACCGGAGAGCGGATTTCCCCAGGTCACCACCGTGCGATCCGAACGAAGGGCGGCAAAAGCGCCATCAGAGGCGTAGATGGTCTCCACCTGTTTCAGATGATCTTGCACCTCGTTGCAGTCACCGCCTGCGGTCCGGTCCCCCCACGCAACCACTCGTCCATTCGCAAGAATGGCGCTGAAGGCGGTGCTGGTGGCAAAGAGCTTCTGCACATCCCGAAGTTCATCCTGGACGGTGCTGCTGTCACCCCCAAAGGCAGGGTAGCCCCATGTAACAACTCCTCCATCACCCAGAAGCGCAGCAAACGCACTCTGAGTGGCATGTATATGCTTGACTCCTTTCAGTTGATCTTGGACAGCACTGCTGTCACCACCGCATTCTGGATCACCCCATGTTACCACCATCCCCTCACCCAACGCGGCAAAAGCTGTGGCCGTGGCATAGATCTCCTTCACACTGACCAAACGGTCCGAAGTCTCCCGGCTATCACCGCCAAAGTCCGGACCCCAAGAAACGACCTTCCCATCTGCTCGAAGTGCACTGAAGGAATTCCGGTTCGCATACACCCTCTCGACCTGCACCAGCTGATCTTATACCTCTCGACTGTTCCCACCCAGCAGCTCGTTTCCCCAAGTGACCAGCCTCCCATCGGCGCGCAGTGCTGCAAATGCACCGGAGGTTGAAGTGATGCTCTGCACCTCCTGGAGCTGATCCTGAACGGGACCAAGAGCGCCACCCGAATCTGGATCACCCCAGGCCAGAACGCTTCCACCCTCAAGAACAGCAGCAAAGGCACTTGTAGTTGATGAGATCGTTTTCACCTGCTGGAGCCGGTCCTGCAGGGCGGAGGGACTTGGCAAGAGACATGACCACTGCGACAGCATGTCAGATGTCAAAGCTGTTTGTCCAGCAAGCAGCCTTTTTTGTTCCGAACAGGCTCTGAAAGAAGTGAACCAAAGAAGACTAGCCTCAGAGGTCATCGAGGATACTGGGTATAGAATTATCCCAAGTTCCTTAATTGAACATTGGTACCTGGACTGCACAAACCTTGTCTTTTCCAATTCCCACCATTGGAAGAGATTGCCACCACCTACATCCACTATGAATGTACCAAAGGAGGCCCCAACAAGCAGGACTTCATTTGGGGCCCTCCGTGTTCCAATGAGCTGCCGACTGCCGACAAACATGCTGCTTGAACATGCTGCTCCACACGTGTGGAGAGCCTGCACTCGGCACTCTCCTGCACTGGGCTGCACTCACCACCTTGATGCTGATTCCCCCAGGTGACCACCCGACGTTCGGGCGGCGTGATGGCTGCAAAGGCGGAGTCGTTGGAATAGATCTCCTGAACATCGTCCAGCTGCTCTTCGACCTCCGAGCCGAGCTTGCACCGGGCGGGATCTGGAGGGTCCACCGCCAGGTTCTTGCTACACAACTCTCGAAAAAGTGAGCAAGACTTGGTCTGTTCAGGATTGCAAAGAATTGAACACTAATTAATTGATATGCCAAGATCCGGGGCCCCTGGTGTTTCGATAGGCTGCATATCGGAGGGTACCCGAAGAAGAGCCGAGCGAAACTGCCTGTTTCATCCGTGTGAAATTACGGTGTACTCACTCAGAATGCCGTCAAAAAGAATGCCATGCGGCCTTGTTCGGAATACCCAAGAACATTCCAAAAAGACCATGGCCAGGAGGTAGCCTCAGCCGTCCATTATAAGTTCACTCCCAACCTATCGTATCTGCTCACACTATCTCATAGAAGGAACCAGGTCCTCCCACCACCTCAAGCAGGCACCAAAGCGACTTCTCCCAAACTCTTGAGCTCCTTTCATCTTCACCAAGCCCTTCCTCACCTACGTTCGCCCATCTCCACCCCCACGCCTGGCTGCAGTCGCCCCCACGCCGCGCCTCGCCCCACGTCACTACGCGGCCACCGCAGCGCAGGGCGAAGGCGCGGCGCGTGGTGCACAGGGCCCTCGGGGCCACGACGGCTGAAAGATGGTCCTCGAGGCCGCTCGAGCGGACGGCGGTGCGCGGTGGAGAAGAGGGTTGGTGGCCGGCGCTTTTAAGATGCAAAAAGCGGAACAAGAGAAAAGCATGACTGGTATGAGTCTATAGCATGTTTTGGGTTGCCTCCATCTAGTCATGGGCCAGTCATGGGAGATTAAGAGGCCACAGAGTGTAGAAATCCGGCACTTCATGATGCGTCATCGGAACTCCTGGTTCTTCAACCAAGATAAAAGAATGGGAGTGAGTTGTTCCTCAGCTATGCATAGTATGCTTCTTGAGGCCGCGTTCCACGTTGTTCCACCATCTTGCATCAAGTATGGCCCGAGGAAAATAGTTTGTCTCAGATTCTCAGAAACATCCAAATGGATTCCCGTCGATTCTCAGTTGCTATTGGATGATTTAAGATGACTTACTGTAAGCCCATCATCCCAAAATCTAAATTGGGATCATTGAGTTGATATCCATCCGAACAATTTAGCCTAAAGCATTTTCCAAACCACCCAGCAAGCTTCGCTTCTCCAAGCGTCTCCATCTTGAAGTCCCAAGTCTTGAAGTGAAGACTCGAGATCCAAAATCCGACCATCCAGAAAGAGCTGCAAGACTCCTGGCTGCTTTGGCTGGCCTAAAACGATGTCCTCTTAACATCTTTTGACGTGATGTCTACTTGGGCCGATCATACCGTCTTCAGTTCTTCAGTTCAGCGATTCCCAGGCCCTTCATGTAGACTTTTCATGAACATAACGAACTTGCGGACCGTCTGAGCGAACGCGCGCCCCCACCCACTCCCGAACGCCACTTGTGTACCGGGTTGTGGTGGGGGTGACCAGGTGAGACGGAACCTAGAAAAACAAGTGCCAAGCACCACCCCCATTTGGATTGTAAAACCTCTGTTATGTAGCGGGGGGGTCTTCCACTTCCATCTTCCCTTCATTTTCCACACGTCGGAGCCACGCGCCTCGCCGGAGCGCCTGCTGCACCGTTGCTTTCACCTCCCTCAGCCGGGCGCTGCGAGGGGCTCTCACCGAGCTCATGCAGCCGCTGGGCAACACGAGGACCACGGACATCACCGGATCCTCCATGGCTTGCCACCAGGACACGCAGCCGCAGGGTTTCCAATTGGCTGCCACTTCTTCCGGGTGAAAAAAAGAAACACATTCAACGGCATGTTCTTGCTCGAGATGCGAAAAGTACCTCGCACTGGCCGTATCGGTTTTCGGTATGATTCTGGTTGCTTGTCAGGGTCAAGTGCAGGAATCAACGTTTAAATATTGAGCACGTGGGCGTCGCAGTGAGAAACGTGCACATGTCCTTGGACTCTGTTAATCTCTTCCCTGCCTGTCGCAGTGCATCCACTGACCACGAACAAGCTTTAAGCTTCCAAAAGAAAGCATGCAAACCATTGCAAACCTACAAAATGTTGGTGAACCACTATGGGTGCGCGGTGCGAGCAAAAAAGACAACCAATTCAATCACTGGCTTCTTCCACTCCTGAGCCAGAAACGTTGAAGCAGCAGGTGTCTCCACTGGTCTTTGACGAAACCAACGAAAGGCATTCAATTTGGAATTCGCAGGGAATTTGCATCAATGCAACCCTTTGGGCTGTTGGGAAGCACCATCCATGAAGTTGTATGAAATTTGTTAGGGCTTCCTCTCAGTGTCAGGTGGGTTCCGATCAACACACGGTCCAAACGCCCTCTTCGTCACAGGTCGTAACTGGGAGACGTTTGGGCCGAAAAGATCACCGGCAACGTCTCCCACCATGGCCCTGTTTCCTCGTTGGACTGGCACCCACACGGCGGGGAGAACGATTTGGTGATGGTTTGTTTCAGAAGTTGTTCAAGGTGTTCCAGAAATTTGCACCAAATCGAATCTTTGACCACCTTTACTTTGGGGGTAATGTCCAGCTTCTGGAATTTGAGAGTGTTTCCGTGATCTTTGAGGCCTTTGTTCAGAGAAAACAGCTGTGTGGGTGGTGAGAGACTCTTTAAGAAGGCCTTTAAAGGCTAAATGATGTGGCGCGCGGCCCTTGCAAAAGGCCTTGCTGTAAAGGGCCAAATTGAGGCGCAATAAAGTTCAATCCGCCTTCCTTTGGTCTCCCTGTGATAACCTTGCACGATTCAGAGCGGCTAATCCCATGTCAAAAAATGGATGCGCGAAGATGCGCGAAGTATAGTATCAATCCTCTTCATTCTTAGGGAGGGTGTTCTGTTTTGGTCGACCTTTCCCTTCCGCACTGCAGGTGCGGTACATTTGAGCCATAGCATGCCATATGCATATAGTTATATAGCGACAACCGTCTTGCAGGCAGCACATAGCCAAACGATGCCAAACGGTTGCCCCCTGCAAGCGCTGAGTTCCTCGCTGACATGGCGGGCATGCTGTCAACGGCAATGAGGATGATTTGTATACCTGGAGAACTGAGAGGCAGTTGAGTTTTACAAGTTGAAGGAGCTGCACCGATGCACCGTCCAGGGGTGAGCCAAATCACAAAGTGATTTGGATGGAAAGGATGCTTGGGCAACGATTGATGATTGACGATTTATATATTTGGATGCTGATCTTGGATGAAGGTTGCATGTCCCAAAACGCCATGATAGGCTGTGATATGCTGGGCCATACCCAATGATGCTGTGTATAATTCTTGTTTGTTTTGGTTAAAGCTTTATCCACTCATGACCAACGGATCAGGAGTTCAATTTGGTTCCGGCCGTCAGATATATTCGTCAACCATCTCCTCAAAGGCCAGGGAACCCTCCCGACAACTGTGGCCATCGTCTTAATGAAGAAACCAAACAAGCCACGAAGTTGCCCAACGCCCAACTCCCACACCCCACACTCAATTCACTTCCAACTATTGACGAGCTTCGAACGCGACTCCCTGACTGCAGGTCGGCTTTAAATCGCGGCTCAATGTGGCGCTGATGACTGAGATGACTAAAATGAGAAATGGACTTCCCTGCATCCAGCCTGACAACTTCCATCCATTCGCGGAAGAAACACATAAAAAATCCCCTGAAGCCTGGCCTTCGGCCTTGGCGTCAGGCCGCCCACCGATCTCTACGATGCGGTCTGTGGCGGGGACCCCGGGCGGTACCTGAGCGCGACGTGGGTGGAGATTGCCTCCATTGCGGGCTGACATGGTCGGAGACCGGTTGCACTTGTGATCACGGGGGGTTGGAGAACTGGCCATTTTTGGGGAGATCCAACTCTTGATTCTTGATTCGTCTTCAAAGGTCAATCGAATCAAACATGATGGGTAGTATGTCAAATGCAATGAAGTGTTTGAAGAGTCAGTACGGCTTGAATGAATTCAGTCCTTGTTTTTTTGGGGGGAAAGCAAGGACAGAGATAGACAGAGGGAGAGGTCCTGGGTGAACTTCTGGACACTGAAAGGTCCTAATCCTTGTGATCCTTGTGGTCCTTTTGTCTCCTTTTGTTTGGACAAATCAAAATCCTTGTAAACCTTGTGATCCTTTGATCTTTCCTCCTTCCTCCTTGTGATCTCCTTTTCAAATCAATCCACGAATCTCGGTATGAAATTCAGTGGACCGACATTCACCTCTTTTTGCGAGTCGAGTCGAGTCACTTGTTCCGCAGACCATGTTGGATCCAAAACCCGACCCATCCCGACCCGTTGAACACATGGCAAGTCTTTAGTCTTTGGCCCTAACGGCTAAGGCTATCCTGTAGATGTTCCTGTGGACAGCCATGAACCCAACACGTCAAAAGAAACCACTCCCAGCTCGACCACACCGCGCCTCCCCCTCCTTCATGACCTGAATATGGGCGCCACTGTTGTCCTGAAGCAATTCCAGCTTTGGTTGCAGGTCATGCTCGGGGCACCTGTTGCAATTGTCTATCCTGCTGCCTGCTGCAATTTCCTACTAAAGGCATGAGAGAGATTGAGAGAGCGCTAAAGGTAAGCAACTGGCTGGCTTGAAACTTTGTTAACAAATGATGACAACAGGGGAAACCTCGCACAACACGCCAAATGTTTGTTCCCCTTACTATAGTAGTAAGTCCTGTGGTTTCTGGCCACGCCCTAAAAATACAAGGCCGCCATTGGAGATCAAATCACCCCCACCACCAGCCAATAAGCCGCTGAGAGGGTCCTGTTTGACGCGACAGTACATTTCAAACTCCAACAAAGTTGAAACTCAGCCATGTTTCTTTTAGGTTCTGATTGACCAATGGTACCATGAAATTCTGCTCCTCCAAGGCTCTTCCCTTTGCCCAAACCCTGCCCAAACCGCTCGAGGCGCCACCCACGTGTTGTCCACCTGATCGCCCCGCGCCCCGCTTCCGCCCTGCGGAAGCCTGCAGCTCGCGGATGTGCCGGCCCTGCTTGCCGATGATCCACCCGGCCACCTGAGTCAGGACAGGGGGACCAGACCAGCAGGACCTGCAGGGACGGCATGGCATCGACTTGAGACGAAGAGGATCAGGTGGGAAAAGCATTCATCATGCCACCATGCCACCATTCATCCCCCATGCCATGGTGGCTCGAGTTTTTGTCTGAATTGGCTGGTGGTGATGCGGCACCTGGAGTGACAAAGAGTCGCCTCTCATTTAAAACCCTAGCCCTCCAAGACCATTAACAAAGTGACCTGGTTGTGTAAAACATGTCGTCAAACCCATTCTTCGGGCTTCGAACCGTCAATTATGGGCGATCGGAAGCCGCTGGCAACACTTTTCCCATCGAAGACGACCTCCGGAAACATTCCTCGCACGCAAGAGCGGCGCCTGAGTTGCCACCACGAACTTGGCATTGGTCCGTGGGTTCCCTGTGATCCAGAGCGATGGCGGCGACATGTTTGGAGCGTTCTGGAGCTTCGTTCCGAGACAACCGTGCATGATTGTTCCCTGGAGGGTTGACATCAGGTTGACGACTTTAGAAAAATGTGTTGGGCAACCTAGCGATGAACCACAGAGTTATTATCTAAGATGATTTGACATTGAAATGTGATTCTGCCAAATTCTACAGTACATGCAAAGCTGGGAGTGTTCCATGTGTTTGTTCAATGTGTTTCATGATTCAGTCAAAGCTGGGAGTTCCTTGGACCTCTGGACCCTGTCCGTTCGCATTCTCCTCCAGTGGGCGGCGCCCGGGTCGCGCTGAAGGTCGTACTGCCTGGGTCCTGAGGGTCGTTGCGACAGGCGCGCGTGGGAGTTCAAGCGGCATGGCTGGTCGTTTGGTTGGATGGTTGATTAATACATATATATATATATCAAGACATGCTGTGACCTGCAGTGCTACTTGATGTGACCTCTGAAATTCTCCTGTGCTACTTGTCTTAGTCTTGCTGCTTGAGCATTATCGCAAGGCTTCTCCAGGATTCCATCAATCAGTACCACGTGCTTGGTTGGAGCTATTGAGATATGTAATTACTGGATGGTCAAGGGATTCACCGCCGGAGAGGATTGGGCAGTCGTCAAAGGGTTGGGTTGATTTTGGAACTTCCAAGGCCTCATAAGCACATGGATACAACATGATACAACTGTTTCATTGAAACGCGTTAGATAGAACTGTAGTCCTTATCCATCTGCGACATTCTGAGAACCCAATGACCTGGAGGTATTCTAATCTTCCTGAAAACTCGCTTTACTACGGGGTTACGGCACGTCAGTTCGTCATCTATATCTCCTCTCCGGCCACGCCCCAAGGAATGGTCTCACCCACGGAAAGCGACCAAAAAAAAGCGGGTGCTCCTGTACACTTCCTGGACGATACCGAAAGTCTGTGGGCTGAAGTCGGCCACGGTCCGCCTTGGAAGTCGGCCACGACACGGACGGGTGGAGTGGACGGAAGGGACGTGCTTCTGATCCATGTATGGCCCAAACACTCCATGTATGGAGTCCAAGCCCCACATTTAGTGAATCTGAACCATGGTCGTCAACCACTGGCCCGAATCAACTGACCATTGGCCATCATTTGACGTTAACAAAGCAAACGGAACCATATTGGACCGTGTTTATATAGTTTGTGAACATAGCATATGTCAAGTGCCCGAAAGATATCTGGTGGTTTTGACCTACCTCCATCCCGATGTCTCAATGGGTCGTCTCAACTGTCGCAACCAGTGGGGCCAGGTCGAAAGAATTGCTCTCTTAGGGCTCCAACAAGCCTCTCAACCACCATCCCTGCGTCATCCTTTGAAACAAGCCTGCAAGAAGTTCTTTCCCCACAAGAGCCAACTCAGTCGTCCACGAGGTCTTGCAAAATGGCATTGATCTTGCTGACCGCTGATACCACTTGACCTCAAGTAGGCCAAATGGGAAACCTGCAAATACACGTAGAACCTGATTTCTTGGTGATTTCAATTCATATGGGATCTACGGGGAGATACAACACCGGCTGCCAAGGACATCGGTGGCTTTTCATGGTTCTTATTGTTTTGGGGTGTTTTGCTTTCCGCATGTGTTCTGGGTTGGCGATGTCTCTCTTTTTGTCGGTGGACAAGATGGAGCCAGACGTGTGTTCGGGACCTCGATGTGTTTCCTCTCTGGTTGCCAGACGCCTTCTTGCATCCTCTTTCGTCTACCTGGGGTGCAAGTGCTGTTCCTGGCAAAATGGAAGACTCCCACTGGCACCGCTGACTTGCTTGGCCTCGCCACGGTATGCCTGGCTGACGAAATCAGAAGCGCATGGTGTTGGAGCTAAATAAACAGCTCTTGGGCATGCTCGTAGTTCTCTTGCCATGCAGAAGGCAGGCTTTGACACGCTTCGATTGGATCGGCGGGTGGGGGTTGGGGTCAAGATATCGTGCCTCGGGGAGATGCGTCCGAGATTTTGGAGCGAAACTCCAACCTAATAGCAATGGCCTCCAACCTAGTCTGATTATCATTGATGTTGAAGGCAGGCAATCTGCATGCGAAATCAGATTGTGCTTAACATGTTGTTGTGGCCCACAGCGTCTTCAGGACATTGTACCCAAATAGATTCCCTCGTTCTTCTCAAAGAAATCCAGATTTCCTCAAAGGTACAATTGATCTTTGGGGCTACTGCCAACCAAAGGATGAAAAAGCGAATCAGTTGAAAGGACACTCACACGTTCGTTGCACTTTCATGGACTTGGTGTTTTCCGTAGCCGCTCTGCACTCTGTGGATTTGCCTAGGAGAAATGCGCTTGAGCGCCGGCCCCTGCACCACTTTAAGTGGTAGCGGAGCCCGGCACCTGACCGGGCTCGGTTCCTGTAGCTGTAGTTTTGGCCATGGCGGTCGAGGAGGCCTGGCGGCCTAGGAGGCGTCGACCTCCGAGTGGTGCGGGTGCGACAGCGGAGACTGTCGAGGAGGGTGGCATGAAGGTGGGGCAACCACAGAGTGCTGTAGGTCCAGTGGCTGCTGAACAAAGGCCAGCGGACCAGATAGGTGAGGGTGGGGTAGGATCTCTTGATCCGTTGCTCTCAGCTGATCCGTGGGCGCGGGGACCCGGCAGCGAACACTGGGCTTGGGAAGAGCGGCCATGGACGGCATGGTCTTGGCCTTCTAGGCAATGGGGCTCATGGAGTTGGCATGAGCCGCAACCATGGTGGTCTCATCGATGGGGTCAGCCGACTTCATGGTATGAGACGGAGTGGTCTGGTGGGCGTGGGGGTTGGGCTGGAGACGGTCGTGTTCCGGGTGATGGTTCCTCCTGGTTGAGTCCTCCTCTCCCTCATCCTGTACATGGTCTACATGTTGGGGAACATGCTGGTGATGTAGGTCGAGACCAAGGGGGTGATCTTCCGCCTCCAGTGACTTCACCTTCTGATGAGTCTTGGTTTAATTTATCACCAGGTGATGACAGCATCGAGAACAATCCAGCCGCATGGCCACCAGGGCCTTGGGAATTGCACAACATGGCGGCGGATGACAATGAGCCCAATGCGACCTCCGCTGCTGATGGACGCCCCTCGGACTCGAGTCGGTCGGGTTTGGGGAGTAGCGGAAACCAGAAGATTTCTCAGTCACATCGGAAGATCCCTTCTACGTATCCACCCTCCTTTTCAGCCAATGGGGATGAGTCCTATACTCACTGGAAACGTGCGGTCCAGTGCTGGATCGCTGGGGAAGGCGGGCAATTGCCCGAGGATGTGATGGGCCCCCGGTGCATGTCCGTTTTGAAAGGAAGAGCAAGCGTGATTGTGAGACATCTCCAAATCGATGAAGTGAGCAAACCTGGGGGCTTAGCTTTGGTCTTCAAGGCGTTGGAAGCGTCCCCGCTGGTCAAAGAGCTGGATGGGCAGCGCGGTGAGAAAGCTCAGCGGGAGTTTCTCCGTTGTCGTCGCCAATCGGGGGAGTCCATGGAGTCCTTCATCATGAGGGTTCAGGCTCAACGGTCAGTCATGGAAGAAGAGGATGCTCAGTTTGCTGTCGGTGACCGTTTCCTTGTGGGCTACATCTTGGACCACGCCGAGTTGACCCTGAAGGATCGTGTCATGGTGCTTGCAGCGGCCCAGAACAAGATGACTTCCGAGAGTGTCTTTCCTGCACTCCGTAGGATGGGTCCATTTTTGCAAGGCACGGTTCCGATTGGCAAGGGCGTCATCGACGCCCCGTTGATCCCTGAGCTTCATGAGACTGCATCCTCTACCAAGACCTCCACTACCGCCTCTCCGCCCGAGGGGCGGAAACCCTGGGCCTATAAGGCACATGTAGCAGCTGAGGACTCCTTTCCGGGCTACACTGATGATGAGGAGCTAGAAGCTGGTGACCCTGAGTTGCTGCCTGAAGAGTTGGAGTCGGCCACACATGCCGCTCTGGCAGCCTATTCTGCCTCTCAGGCCAAGCTCAAAGCCTTGAAACAGGCCCGAGGCTATTTCCGACGACCAGAGCCTCACACTCAACCTGGTCGGCAAGAACGCTTGAAGAAGTTGATGCAAGAAAATCCTTGCCGAGCATGCGGTGGATATGGTCACTGGTCTAAAGATCCTGAGTGCCCACGCAATGCCAAGGGCACAGCGGCAATGACGGCTGGCGCTTCTGTGGCCAGTCCAGGACCAGCAGCGTCCGTTAATTCTCCTGAGACCTCCAGTGAACATGCAGCGATGTCCGCTGTGCTGGAGCAAATGATGAAGGATGAGCAGCACCGTCAGTCTGCGAGAGCATATATGGCTGCGGTGTGTGATGCTGCGGGGAGTGTGGGGACATCAAGAGAGTTTGTGACATTGGTCAATGCAAGCGATGACATGTTCACTGCTCGTATGGTCGTGGATCTGGGTTGTTTGCGGTCGGTGGCAGGCATTAAATGGGTTTTGACAGAGGTGCAGCGTTGCAAGCAACAAGGTCGGTATTTTGCCATCAAACCCACGTTGGACTATTTCCGTTTTGGTGATGGGGTTCGTCGGCCTTCACGTTTTCGTGCCTATTTGGAAGTCGGCATCAACGGACATGTAGGCTTGTTGGCAATTAATGCAGTTGAATATCCTTGTCCTCCACTTCTTTCCAAACATGTATGCAGTGCATTGGGGCATCAATTGGACTGTGGTTCTGGCAGGTTTGATCTTCACAGGTTAGGGGTGCGATCTCAACATTTCACTTCATCAGCTGAGGGTCATTATTTGTTACGGATCGATGAGTTCATTGAGCATTGGCCATCTTGGCAACAGTTGCTTCAGCAGGGACATTGTCCTAAGGTTCAGCATGATGAAGTGTCCATGTTTGAGTTGCGCAAGGGCGTTCCCGTTGGCAAGGGTGTGCGACGGATTCAGGCTCAAGGAAGAGATCGTGTCAGAACGCCTGTCTTGGCCTGTGCCCCCACGTCCGAACCCTCTTGTGATCATGGATCGCGCTCAGCGGACCAGGGCGGCACGCACTCGGGAGCCCATCGAGGCACAGTCCGTGTCATCGGTGGAACTCTTCCCGGAGGAGCCGGATTGGGGAGGCGAAGAGGAGGAGGAGATTCAAGCACAGCAGCCGCGTCGGAAGCAGGCTGCCGGGACTCGCCTGGATGCTTCGATGGAGAGTGCGCCAGCGGCCTCAACGGGGGAAACCAAAGTCAAGGCCGAGCCGAAGAGCAAGACCAAGGCCAGTTCCAAGACCAAGGACAAGAAGGAGACCCGCTTGGAGATTACCGGCCAGTATGCAGATTTTCCGGTGTTGGGAATGACACACAGCCACGATGCAGTGTTCAACATGAGCTGGGTGCTGCACGGCCGGCTGGTGGTGCACAAATGGAAGCAGCTGGTGTGGCTCCTGCGCTCCCGGGTGGCCATGAACGCCTACGGCCTCCCTTGGAAGCGCCATCCTCGTTGGCTGGCCATGATGATGAGCAAGGAGGTGGCGGCCATCTGGGGGCATTTGGGCGGCGCTGTGAAGACCTTGAGCGGCCCTCGGGGTCCGCCGCTGCTGAAGTGAGGGGTGAGGCAGTAGCGAACGAGGGTTCAGAGCCGAAGAGAGCAACGCCGTGGAAGCGCAGTCAAGTTCAAGTGTTGAAGAGAGGTGCAAAGTGTTGTTCATCTGTTTTACAACATTTGGCTTTTGTTGCTCACAAATCGACAGATCACACGTGGCGTGTATTAGAGATCTTTGGAGGCAGTGCAGCATTGTCGCTGATAGCCCGCTCCACTGGGAAATGGTGTGCCTTGGAGCCTGTCGACTTAGTCTATGGATCTGATGTTCTGGACCCCAAAGAACGGAAGCGGATTTTACAACAGATTGATGAGTGGGAACCGGATCTTGTGTGTCTTGAGCCGCCATGCGGCCCTTGGTCTTCGCTGCAGTCACTCAATCCCCAAGAAGTTGTTCATTTCAAACGAATGTTGCATATGCCTTTTTGGGAATTTTGTGCAGTTGTCTGGAAGAAGCAACATCGCGCCGGTCGTCTTGTGTTGTTGGAACAACCTTTTCGCAGCATGGCATTGAAACTAGAGTGTATGATGCAAAGGCCCAGTGTACACCGAGCCGTTGTTGATCAGTGCATGTTTGGTTTGCAAGACCCATGTTCTCATTTACCTTTTCAAAAGCGCACTGCCTTGGACGTCAACTCTCCTGTGTTCGCTGCAGCCTTGATGCAGGGCTCGTTGTGTGATCGCAGTCACTCCCATCAGACCATTGAAGGTCAGGTCTTCGCTCATGGCAAGTGGATGAACCGCTCCTTGGTGGCGGGCACCTGGACACCCCAGTTCGGCCGCCACATACTGGCATGTGCTGCGCTGGCCCTGTCGCAAGCTGGCTGCTGGCATCAACGGGACCATGGAGCGCATGTCTTTGTCACCCGCTTTGACGAAGAGGATGGGGGCGAGTGCTTCTTGTCCCAACCGTCGTCGGCTGTTCCATGTGACTCGGCGGGATGCTATGAACTGGGAGAGCACTGGTGTGACACCTGTAAGGGGGGTTGGTGCAATCAATGCTTTGTGAGTCATGTTTGTGAACCCCGTCCACTGGTTGAACAAGTTGATGAACATTTAGCCTTTGCGGCATCCAGTGCCGCTGATCAAGACCTAGAGGAGGAGTGCTTGGAACAGGCACCTGGGGCAGAAGAGCTGAAAACGGAAGTAGCCATCAATCATATGTTCCGACGACTTCAACAAGAAGAAGATCAGCGCCGTGGCGACTACTCGGGAGTGGGCAGCCGCTATGGCTATGTTCGTTTTGTTGGGGCTTCACTGAGGGTCAACAAGGCCATTCGAAATCAGGTGGCTAAGTTGCACGGTACCTTGGGACATCCCTCCAATGATAGACTAGCTCGGATGTTGAAGCTGAACGGTGCCACCAAGGAGGTCGTTCAAGCAGCGCAAGATTTGCGCTGTGAGGTGTGCAGTCGAGTACATCCCCCGGCTTCGATGCCCAAGTCGTCGTCCACCAATCCAGAGCACTTTAACCAACACGTGTCCTCAGATTCGTTTTTCTTGCTGGATAGTGAAGGGGTGCGGTGGAATGTGACTCATTTGGTTGATGGGTTTTGCGGGCTACAGTATGGTGTGCTCTCCAAGAATCCTTCCTCGGCCACGAGTTGTGACCTCCTCTTTGACAAATGGATTTTGGTGCGTGGGCCTATGAAGGAGCTCACTGTTGATGGCGGACCTGAGTATCGGGGTGGCTTTCCTCACCTTTGCGAGGTCTATGACATTCGCTTGAACATCAATCCGACTTCCGCCAAGTGGAAGAGTGGCTTGGCTGAGAGGCATGGGTCGATCCTCAAACTCATTATGCTCAAAATGATTCATGAACTGTCCCTGACCAAAGAGGGCGACTTGAGGAAGGCCTTGGCCATGGCAGTACAAGCCAAGAACCGCCTCTCACGCCGGTGCGGATACTCACCACTACAAGTGGTTCAAGGACGTGATATGGTCCTACCATCCTCCTTGGTGGAACAAGTTGACCGAGCGGAGATCAAGTTCGCCACCAATAGTAAGATCTTGGAGATCAAGGAGCAGGACTTCATGGAGAAGCTGAGAAAGGAAGCGGCTGCTGCCTTTCATTGGTTGGATAGCCATGAGCGTTTGAGGATGGCCCTGAACAGCCGGTCTCGCCCACCCCACCTGAAGGCAGATGCCTTGGTGCCAGGTACTGTGGTATATTTCTTCAAGCAACCTGCTCAGAATCGCCGACTACAGGACTATGCCACGGGCTATCAAGGCCCAGCCGTGGTGGCTTGTGCCGATGGGCCGCAACGACTTTGGCTTCGGTACAAGGGCAATGTGGTGAGGGTGGCATTGGAAAATGTCCGTCTGGCCACGGAGGAGGAAGAGGTGGCCACATCTTACATCAAGGAGGCCATGAATGACCTGGAGCAAGAGCTCACCGGCAATCGTAGGCCAGCTGGCTACGACGATTTGGCAGAAGGCGAGGGACCTGATGGCGAGCCCGGAACGGGGGTTGGAGCGTCTCTTCCTGGCCCTCCGGATGAGATGCAGTTCCCGGCAGGCACACTTGAGGGTCAGAGATCAGAGATGCACCCGCCCCCGGTTCCTGTGGCACCTACGCCTGTGGTCCCAGAGCCAACGCCTGAGATGCTTGCCTTGGCACGAGCTTCTGAGGACAAGTGCCGACAGTTGGATGGCTTGCCGCCTAAGCATCGATCACGACCTGGCCCTTATGATCCAGCACAAGCTTCTGTGCCACACAAGGTGGCATTCTTTGAAGGAAAAGAAGATTGGTGGAAATCTCTTTTGACGGATGTGACCGACAAGTTGAATACCAGCTCCAGTCTACAACGACTCTCTGCCGAGAAGGACGTTCAGTTGGTGAACACGGAGTTGGATGCTGGTTTGGTTGAGGCTCAGCGTCAACGAGATCATGGGGGTGAACCCTTGGCCAAAGCCGCCAGGCATGATGACAGTGTGTTGGATGAAATGGCGGTAGAGCGGGGTGTCAGCAATCTCGCACCAGTGGTGGCTGAAGCTCTCATGGCCGTCCGGGCATGGGCACTTCAATCGGCCTCTTCTCCGGAAGAATGTCAACGGATGACCAAAATGATGGAGACCTTCGATGATGATGCCATCCAGATGGAACGTGAAAGAGGTCACCGTGCCGGTCCAGAACCTGGGGCTAGGGGAGAAATCTATTTGAAGGACATGACCCCTACCGAGGTGCGCTTGACAGTTCCGGCACTCATCAAGGCCTTAGAGATTCATTTTACCTATGAGGCTGTTGAACCTGTGGCACTGGACAAAGTGATCAGCAAGGATGCCACCTTGCAAAGCCGTTTTGTCATTGTCAACAAGAAATGGATTCAACGGCTATTTGGACCCAAAGGTAGACTTTGTGTCGGTGGCCATCAAGATCCTCATGCAGGGGAGTATGCGACCTCATCACCAACAGCACAGCTGCTAGGGCATCATTTGCTTTTGGTGGTGACAGCTGGGAAAAGGTGGAAGGCATACGGGGGTGATATCACCGCTGCATTCTTACAAGGGGAACCACTACCTCGTGATAAACCCCTTTACATTTGGTTCCCTCGGAAGATGCCTGGAGAAGTGCAGGCCTATGTGCAGGGCAAGCTCAAGGGGTATCGGACAGACATGGTCCGTGTGGTAAAAGGGGTGTTTGGCCTGAATGAATCTCCAAGACTATGGTATTTGGGGCTGAGGAGACACCTTCAGGCCCTTGGCTTCCGTGAGATGAAGCTGGCCCCATGTGTTTTCACCTTGCATGTGAAAGGTCAACTGGAGGCAATGGCAACTGTTCATGTTGATGATGTATTGCTTGCAGGGGGAGAGGTTGCTGAACCCATTTGGAAGGAACTTCAAGGTCGCCTGACTTTTGGTTCCTGGGCTCCGATGAGTGATGGGCTGAAGTTTTTGGGGCGACATGTGGTACAAGACCCAGAGTCTCGAGAGATCACCACGTCCATGGCCGAGTATTGCTCAGATCTACAGGAGATCGTCATAGCAGCCACTGATCCTGATGATCGGACTCTCAACGATGCTGAGGTGGGTGTGCTGCGCTCAGTGAATGGCAAGTTGAGCTGGGCTGCTCGGCAGGGTCGACCAGATGTTCTCTTTTTGGTTTCCCTTTTGCAACAAAGCATGAAGAAGCCATGTGTCAAGCAGCTACGAATAGCTAACCAAGTCATTCGACTTCTCAAGAAAGACCAACCACTTCGTTTTGTCCATTTGGGTTGCGAGCTGGATCAGCTCATCTTCGTGGTGGCCTCAGATGGGGCCTATGGGACTATGCCTGATGGCAAGTCGCAGCAGGGATGGATTGTGGGTTTAGCACATCCTGCAATCAAGGAAGGCTGCGCTAAGATGAATTTGGTGGAATGGCAGAGCTCGTCATGCAAACGCATTGTGAGGTCTTCTATGGCCATTGAGGCCAGTGCCGCTTCGTTGGGATTCGAGCATGGTGAGTATGTTCGGGCATTGTTTGGAGAAATTCTCCAGGAGAACTTCCAGGTGCGCCGCTGGGCTGAGTTTGTTCGAGGGTGGGAGCTGCTTTTGGTCTTGGACGCCAAGACCGCATACGACACCCTGGCCTCAGAAAGTTTACCCCAGGATCGTAGGACAGCGCTTGACCTACTGGCCATCAAGGAATCCCTCCTGGATGACTCCAACCATGCCATGTGTCGCTGGGTGCCTGGCCCGCAACAGTTGTCTGACGGGCTGACCAAAGACAAAGACAACCACGTGTTGCTCGATTACATGAATTCCAACACTTGGAGCCTGAGAGAAGATCCCATTTGGCAGGCTCAACGCGAAAAACAGCGTGGAAGCCAAAAGCTGTACAAAGCCAAAGTCCGTGCAGACCGGGCCCTTTTGACCGGGGATCCCGGGGTGAGTTGAAAGGACACTCACACGTTCGTTGCACTTTCATGGACTTGGTGTTTTCCGTAGCCGCTCTGCACTCTGTGGATTTGCCTAGGAGAAATGCGCTTGAGCGCCGGCCCCTGCACCACTTTAAGTGAATCCAATGGCATTCGTCCGTATTCACCGTTCGTCCATCGAATCCACGCGACACGCTCTTCCTCCACATGGAGACCATCCAACAAGCGGGCATGATACCTTCGGACGTGCGACCGTCCGGTCGTCAAGGCACCATCACAGACATGGACAATGATACCTGAGGAAACGTGGCGTTGAAGGACTGCCCCAAGGATTGGACCTGAGTCACCTCACCAGGTCCAAAGTGCAGAAGATACCCGTCAATCTGAGGTTTCTCTTGTTCTTCGTCTGATCTGGCCAGTGGTGTTGTATCCAGACCATTGGGATCCCCGGCCGCCGGTACCCGTCACACCAATCGGCTGGTCATTCATCCCTGGCAAGCGACCAAAGAGAGACGTTTCGGCTCATCCAAAAACCGCTCTCCCAAGGATGAGCTGAAGAGAAGCACTGGTCTCTGAAGCGATTTGGGAGATCCCCATCTTTTGCCGAACGCATCATGACCCTCATCTCAGCTTAAAGATACTAGTACTACTACTACTACTACTACTACTACTACTACTACTACTACTACTACTACTACTACTACTACTACTACTACTACTACTACTACTACTACTACT